GAATCACCACTGAAAAACATCTCTTCCACTGCTGTGAGTCTTGTGACAGGAGCAACAAGCACTTCTGCAGCAGAGATAACCACTCAAATGATTTCTAATTCTGTACCAGGAGTAACAATACAAGAGACAACAACAACCACCAGACAAGCACCAGCAGAGGGCACCACTGTACTGCTCAGCATCACTGTTAACATCACTTACCAAGCAGGTTTTAACGACTCCACCTCCCTGTTCTGGAGAGCTCTAGAATTACAGTTGGCCAGCTTGTACAGTGGATTGTCAGGCTTCCTTAGAGTCGTCATCATTGAAATAAGGTAATGTGCTTCCTTAGAGTTATCATCATTGAAATAAGGTAATGTGCTTCCTTAGAGTTATCATCATTGAAATAAGGTAATGTGCTTCCTTAGAGTTATTATCATTGAAATAAGGTAATTTCTGATTTACTCTATGTATGTTAATGAGATACTGTTAAATCACAATGTCACTTTGAAAAGTGAAACTTGGTCTTTTTTTCTCAGCAATGCCAATAATATTTTAAATTTAAAATGCATTACGATTAAGAACACCTGTGCAAAAGCAGTTTTAATAATTTGATACCAGATGGTGTGATTTAGAAAATGCTAGTAGTATATTCATTAAATACAACTTTTTCCAGAAATGGTAGTACCATAGTAGACCACCAGGTGGTGTTCAACAGCACTGTCAATTCCCAGACTAAAGAGGAGGTGGCAAGCCAATTCAACACTGGAATAGAGAGCCAAAACAAGATTTTCACATATAATGGAACAGAATACCCAGTGACTGCCGCCTCAGTCTTTACAGCAGGCGGTGAAGGTTGGCCGAAGTTTTGAAGTTCTTTAAGTATCTTGTTACAAGCCTAGTGCTTTAGCTCTTATTGATGTGATGAAAGAAATTATATCTTTGTCCTAATCTATATCACACCTTAGAAAAAATGTATTGCTATATTTCTGGGAAGAAATACAACATACTGCATCAATGCTGTCTGATGGCAAGAGCTATGTTGTATTTTGATATGTACCCGGTATGCTTGTTTTCAGTTTCCATATCGTCTATTTCAGTTGTCATCTTCCCCAAGTTTTCCCCCTGTGACATCTACATCAAGGAGAAGGCATGTCAGAATGGGGCTGTGTGTGAGACATCCAATAACACGGCCACATGCAGGTACGGTAATGACGCTGTGTGTGAGACGTCCAATAACATGACCATATGCAGGTACTGGGTTGTACCTAGGGGACAGATAAAGAGCCGGAAAGAATAGCATTTACTGCTGAAAAGAATTGAATTACCAGTATGTGAAAATATCTAATTAAAATAAAAGTTGATGTGACCTTTTACTTATGTTATTTAGAAGTATGTGTGTATATACACACATGCACACACGCAGACACACACACACACACACACACAGACACACATGCACACACACACAGGCTCTGCGATATAAATGATTGCACCATGTTATCTCCACTCCTTGTTACCCACCAGATGTCCTCGCGGTTACTCGGGAGACTTCTGTGATGTGAAGAGCGGTCTGACAGAGCTGGAGATAGTATACGTTGTCCTGGGCTCTGTAGGAGGGGTTCTCTTGATAGTCATCCTTATACTGCCCATTTTGATCTGCTGCAGACACTACAGGTCTAAGAGCCTAGGAAGCTCTTCATACAGGTAAGTCTGTAGACACTACAGGTCTAAGAGCCTAGGAAGCTCTTCATATAGGTAAGTCTGCAGACACTACAGGTCTAAGAGCCTAGGAAGCTCTTCATACAGGCAAGTCTGTATACACTACAGGTCTAAGAGCCTAGGAAGCTCTTCATACAGGTAAGTCTGTATACACTACAGGTCTAAGAGCCTAGGAAGCTCTTCATAGAGGTAAGTCTGTAGACACTACAGGTCTAAGAGCCTAGGAAGTTCTTCATACAGGTAAGTCTGTATACACTACAGGTCTAAGAGCCTAGGAAGCTTCAAACCCCAAAGCCCTGCTAGCAATTTTCCTTAAAAGCCTTAGTTCAGACATTATAATTGAGAAAGCAAAATAATGCCTTTGTTTAATGAAAGTCTGTAATTATGGGCTCACAACTCCATGACAAATAAATTTAAACTAAAATGATGGCACAGGATAGAAGCTCATACATTTGTGGTCACCTCTCCCAACTTTTGTGATAAAATCTTGTTCAGGGATGAAGATATGCCCCATACCTATTGCTATATATATAAGCTACAGGTAAAAGTCTTACAGAATATCATGTTATAGGTAGAAATAAAATTCATTTTGATAATAAGCATTCCAACCTTAAATTTGACCTTCAGTGACATAACTCAGATGTCCTACGGTCGAGTGACTGGCGCTTTCCATCCTAAATATGGCATGGACTGGAAGAACATGAGGGACGGACGTGGGATTTATAACCAACAAGGCTTCAACTGGCGTGACTGGCTTGGAGATGATGGGGAACAATCCCAGAGTTCCAGTGATATGACTGTGCACCGAGACCAGATGCATTATGGGCCAGGTTTTTTCCATTCCTCCACGCAAGCCATAGCTCACCCTAGCAATTCTAGTCTGGATATCTATGACAGAAGGCTCAAAGGTAAACTAACAAATGTCCATACTTATAATTATTTGCACATGGGATGCTAGAACTGTTTGAGAAACAGCTCGAGGTAAAATCTAATCCTTAAATACAATAAATTGATAATTTTAATAATTTGCTTTTATCATTAAAATCATGCTCAGATTAAACAAAGTCCGAATGCTTTCATTTATGTGACACTGTGTATTTCATCTGTAGTGTGCAGAATAAAGAACATGTTATGAAGTGGGCAATAAATAAAATCATTGATATTTTCAGCTGATGATGACTCTGATTCAGACTGGGCAGACTTGGTCTCTACCACCCTGGACAAGGACAAAACAGTGAGTAGATGGAGAAATAGACAGATTATCACTTATGGCTTATCTCTAGAACAGAATCTATATACAATGTCAATTTATACAATACCAATGAAGCAAATTTAACCATGATGACTATATTTACTGAGAAGTATCTATTACTACTAATACAAATTATCTGAACTGTATTTACCTGCAAGTAAGATGACGCCAATTTTTTGCCCACTACCTGATTCATTCACAAATGGTTTACTGGTTTTAGCCATCAGTTCCTCTCCCATTCCAATTCATACATGAGCTCTGTACCAGGTTGCTGATCAGTTTCTTACCAAATGATCCCCCTTTTTTTTCAGTTCCGTATAAAACGCCCACAGGTGGATCCAGCCAAGACAAGCCCATACAGGGTATGATGACCTTTATATTTTAATTAGTTACAAAAATTGCTAATTGTTATAGCAAGTCACAATATATAAAACAAAGAAATTGCATTTATTAGTTACTTCATAGCATGACAGTTTTACTGATCATGAATTTTTTTCTCTTGCAGCTAAAACTGAAGCCAGAGTCTAACATCTGAGCCATTTGTCCACAGATTTATGTCCATACAGCTCTGTGCAATAGTGGCCGTGCCATGCATGGTGCACAGTTTATGGTGCTCACAAAGATGAAAATGAACTCATTCTGTATCTCTCCATATCTGAATATAAGCAATATTACTGCTGTACTGTATGTACCATACATGTAGATCACCAAAGAGATATTGAAGTGTACAGCATAGTTTAAAATGACAAAAACTGCAACTTTGTCATTTTGGTAAACTTTCAAACTTGAATACAAATGAGAGAAAGTAATCATATTGACTCTATCTGAAACTGTGACAATTAGCTATGTTATTTGTCTGTACACTTTTAGTAAAGTCATTACGCAAGCCCCTCCCTGATAATGCACTTTTGACAACATTTGTTCCAGACCAATCTGAAGTTAATGAAGTAGATATAATCAGTATATTTATTAGGTATATGTATATATGTACATGTAAAATCTGTAGAACTGTTTGATGAAAACTATACTCACTATCCGACTGTGAAACCTTCTGTAACTAGCTAAACATGCAGATTACAAGTTTGGGGGCTTATTAGAAGCACCCCATACTGGGACATTCCAAACTTTGAATTTATTTTTATATTATGTGAATTGTTTCCTTCATATGGTGGAAACTTAACTGTGATATAAAAATTGAGGATGCATTCCATGCCAAGTATATGAGAGGTGGACCATTGTACTGTAGACATAATGTCCAGGTTAGTTAGCACATTGTGACTCCGTCCAAAGTATACAAGTTGTTACATATACAAGGTTATTTCACATACGATTACATCATACTTGTATAGCTTTTTATCTCATGTTCAACATATATTATATCATTCATTCATAAAGAAACAAGTTATGCAAATGAAAGCAATCATCATGTGTCTTCCCAGCAATGAATGGTCACCAGGACGGTTCACATTGCTTTGTGTTTACTATGCAACATTTTTATTCCAGAACATTTATTATTTACATATCATTTCATGTATTAGTAGTTTTACCTCAAAAAAGGGCTTGGTAAGCAATGTACATTTCATACCGAGTAGGTTATATGGCATATGTAAGTTTATTTTACTACAAATTGGAAACTTGTATTGTTACATTTTCTACAAGCAGTAAAGCATTTTTGCATTCATTTCATACTCACCAGCATTGTAGATTATTTCATACTTAAAACTTAGAATATACTATTGCTCGTATTTTTATTATGCTAGTATACATTAGCCACTTTAATGATATCATAATAGTTTACATATGTAGAATGTCTTTATTCAAGAATTTAACAATTGACAGATTACTATTTATTGATAATAATGTTGTAAGTTTTGCTGTAGCAAAGACTTTCATAAAATGTTAAGTCTAGAATGTAAATATTTTACGTGTAGATACTAAAGAAATAAATTATTTTTACATTAATAAAAAAATGAGTAAAATTGTGGTTGTGTTCAAAGTACATTAATTTGAAATAATAAAAAAACTAATCCTTGCTGGGTCACTTACAATTCTATTAAAAAAGAGTATATTCAGCGGTTACCAAATTAACATCACATAGAAAAATACACAAATTATCAAGAATAATGAAAACAATCTACAAGTATGTCTTCAACCTGCTCACTAATACCTTCGGGGTGACTTGCATTGTAAAGTTAAAATTTAACAATAAATATAAATATGAATCTCAAGTCAACTCACGCAAAAAAAAAATGCAAATTTAAAATAATGTTATTCAATGGTCTCAGCCCTCATCTGATCACACACAGAATTAAAATAAAAAACTATCTTGGGAACATGCTGAACTTACATGTGCAAAACCGTGAAAATATTTACATTCACATCCCAGATAGTAATGCTGGAAGGTAATGGAAGTAAAATATCTTATAAAAGTAGGATCCATCACCCCCCCCCCCTTCTCCCTTCACCCGCCAGGTGTCACCACAACTGTGACCTTGAAAAGTAGGTCAAGGTGAATCACTGGGATAGTCTCACTAAATCCAAAGAAAAGTGTTCCACATTTGGTGGTGTTAAGACAACTACTAGCAACTGTCTGTAGTGTCTCAGGAGGCTGAGCTAGTTCCCTGTATTGTATGTCTTATATGCCAGAGTTAAGACAACTACTAGCAACTGTCTGTAGTGTCTCAGGAGGCTGAGCTAGTTCCCTGTATACCTGCCTGTAAAACTCTGAACAAACTGTGGACATCCTCAGTCTTCAGGCAGGTGGCAGCATTGTCCTCTATCCGCTTCTCCTCCACGGCAGTAGTGACCAGCTGCTCCAGAGAATGGTCAATATTGACTGTGTATGGGAGAAAATGTCCAACATCTTGAAAAGAAAACTCGTGCTCCTTCAGGAGTGCTGCCATGTGTTGTGGATTGCAGTCCAACTTTAACAAGGACTTCCAGTCTGAGGGATGAGGACAGTTCACATCAACATTCTCCAGTAGCACATCCTGATCTGTAAAATACAACACACATCAACTTTAACAAGGACTTCCAGTATGAGGGGTGAAGACAGTTCACAACAACCTACTCCAGTAGCGTGTCCTGATCTGTAAAATACAACACACATCAACTTTAACAAGGACTTCCAGTATGAGGGGTGAAGACAGTTCACAACAACCTACTCCAGTAGCGTGTCCTGATCTGTAAAATACAACACACATCAAATTTAACAAGGGCTTCCAGTGGCACATGTACCACTCTGTGAATACATGTACATCAAAATGCAATCCTTTGATCATACATCATATTCTTTTCTATTATCCAGATAAACAACAAGTGGAAATATACCAAACTTAAAGCAATTTCTAGAACTGCCCTGTATTTTGGAAATCTCTATATTTAAATTTAAGGGCCATTCCAATGTATTTTCCTGCCAAAATGAATCTTCCTAGGTTAAAGAGTAAATTTCCCTACAAAACACTGCTTGACCTGTTACCCTGCACTTGGATTGGATGTTTTGTTCCATTTTTAATTGAATGCTGTAGTTTAAAATGACTGGCCAGTCAAAGTCACATACAAGAAAATGGTGGGGTGTTTTGTATAGGGGCCCTGTACGGTTTATAACACAGTGGTTGCAAGCTGGTAATGGCTACCCAAGAAGACTGAGAAGATAATAATGAAAGAAGGTATGCTTCAGATTAACTTTTATATTCAGGGTTTATTTGTTTGTAGAGTCTGAATTTGGAAATTTAAGAGGCTTTACATAACATGAATATGACAGTGGAGGATCTTCAAACAATGGGAAGAACTATAAAAAAAATTCATGTTGTAATTCATCTGGTAACAGCCAGGTCTTCCTAGTCAAGCACCTTTCCTGTACAAACCTACCCTTTCCTCAACTACCTAACCGTAACACATCTGGTAACAGCCAGGGGCCCGTTTCACGAAGCAGTCGTTAGTTAGAATAACTAACTACTGAACTATCTCGCAAATAAGAAAACTTAAGGGGTGTTTCACGAAGCAGTCGTTAACTCATTGCTAAGTTCAGTCATAAAGTTTGAACGTTAGTTCTGCCGTTACTCACCATACTCTCGAAACAGTCTACCGGAAGTAGAACTCTTGCGTAAAAGTGTCACGAAAGCACTAACTCTCCAATTTTTTGTGGCTGGAAATGTATAAGAAAGTCTGCTTTGAGGTTGTCGTAAAGGATCTCCACCACCTTTTTGCCGCTCTTTTTGTCACAGCTAGGCGCAACCTCTCGTAAATTGTATCATTGTGTGCATATTCTAATAGATTCTGCCTATCATGAAAATGTTGTAGTCTACTTGCCGTCTGGCAGTACGGATAGCAAGAAAGGTAGCCACCATATTGGATTCAAAGACAAATGACAGACAATGGTAACTAAGCAACCTTTTTGTTTCATTCATTACGCATGCGTACGATGAAACTCTAGAGTTAGCGACTGGTCTGACCAGTCGTTAAATATCCAAGGTAACAACAACACAATAACGAGCGAGAGAACTAGCGATAGTTTCGTGAAACGGCACTCATAACTAGCGAGAGGCTAACTACCGATTGCTAACTAACTACTGCTTCGTGAAACGGGCCCCAGGTCTTCCTAGTCAGCTACCACATGTCCTTCACAAACTTACCCTTTGTCCTCAGCTACCTAACCCTAACACATCTGGTAACAGCCACGCTTTCTTAGTCAAGCACCTGTCCTGTACAAACTTTCCACNTGCAGCATAGTTTAAATTGACAAAAACTGCAACTTTGTCATTTTGGTAAACTTTCAAACTTGAATACAAATGAGAGGATGTAATCATATTGACTCTATCTGAAACTGTGACAATTAGCTATGTTATTTGTCTGTACATTTTTAGTAAAGTCATTACGCAAGCCCCTCCCTGATGATGCACTTTTGACAACATTTGTTCCAGACCAATCTGAAGTTAATGAAGTAGATATAATCAGTATATTTATTAGGTATATGTATATATGTACATGTAAAATCTGTAGAACTGTTTGATGAAAACTATACTCACTATCCGACTGTGAAACCTTCTGTAACTAGCTAAACATGCAGATTACAAGTTTGGGGGCTTATTAGAAGCACCCCATACTGGGACATTCCAAACTTTGAATTTATTTTTATATTATGTGAATTGTTTCCTTCATATGGTGGAAACTTAACTGTGATATAAAAATTGAGGATGCATTCCATGCCAAGTATATGAGAGGTGGACCATTGTACTGTAGACATAATGTCCAGGTTAGTTAGCACATTGTTACTCCGTCCAAAGTATACAGGTTGTTACATATACAAGGTTATTTCACATACGATTACATCGTACTTGTATAGCTTTTTATCTCATGTTCAGCATATATTATGTCATTCATTCATAAAGAAACAAGTTATGCAAATGAAAGCAATCATCATGTGTCTTCCCAGCAATGAATGGTCACCAGGACGGTTCAGATTGCTTTGTGTTTACTATGCAACATTTTTATTCCAGAACATTTATTATTTACATATCATTTAATGTATTAGTAGTTTTACCTCAAAAAAGGGCTTGGTAAGCAATGTACATTTCATACCGTGTAGGTTATATGGCATATGTAAGTTTATTTTACTACAAATTGGAAACTTGTATTGTTACATTTTCTACAAGCAGTAAAGCATTTTTGCATTCATTTCATACTCACCAGCATTGTAGATTATTTCATACTTAAAACTTAGAACATACTATTGCTCGTATTTTTATTATGCTAGTATACATTAGCCACTTTTATGATATCATAATAGTTTACATATGTAGAAGGCCTTTATTCAAGAATTTAACAATTGATAGATTACTATTTATTGATAATAATGTTGTAAGTTTTGCTGTTACAAAGACTTTCATAAAATGTTAAGTCTAGAATGTAAATATTTTATGTGTAGATACTAAAGAAATAAATTATTTTTACATTAATAAAAAACAAGTAAAATTGTGGTTGTGTTCAAAGTACATTGATTTGAAATTAAAAAAAAACTAATCACCATAATTCCTTGCTGGTAAATTTTATTAAAAAAGAGTAACCAAACTACAGGATCAGAGAGGCGATACCGCCTCCGGATATTGTACCACCAGCTGGAGTAAGCGCATTCAAATGGAAAAACCCCCAAAAAAGGGACACCACCACCAGTCTTGTGCTTAACAAGCTGTATAAAATACAATCGACAAAAGTTCTCAAAATATGCAACAAAAAAAAAAAAAAAAAAAATGGTACAATCAAGCAGATTTTTGAACTGACCTGTATTTTCCTAACATTGATCACTCCTGTGATTCTCTAGACAATAGACCTATTGGTTTTCCTTGAAATGTGTTGTCAGTGTTGCATATATGCTGACAAAAGAAAAAAACTAGGGGCAACACTGGGCATATCTCTGCTAGTTTTGAAGATATGAGGGACAGGAAAATATGCAAAGCTCTGTTCATGGTGAAAAAGTAGGTCAAAGGTCAATTTCAATGTCAAAGATTGCCAGTATATGATTTCCTATTTAACTTTTATAGTAACTATGGGTGTATCTCTGCCAGTTTTTGGGATATAAGGGATAGAAAATTTGCAAAGATCAGTTTATGGTGAAAGTAAGGTCAAAGGTTAATTTCAGGGTCTCAGTTAGATTGCCAGTATATGAATTCCTATTCATGTTCAATAGTAACTATGGGTGTATCTTTACCAGTTTTTGAGATATAAAGATCAGAAAATTTGCAAAGTGCAGTTTATGGTAAACAGTAGGTCAAAGGTCAAATTTAAGGTCACAGATTGCCAGTATGTGATTTCCCATTTAACTTAAGTAGTAACTATGGACCTATCTCTGTCAGTTTTGGAGATAAAAGGGAAGGAAAATTTGCAAAGTTCATTTCATGGTGAAAAGTAGGTCAAAGGTTAATTTTAAGGTCACAGATTGCCAGTATATGACTTGCTATTCAAGTTTAATAGGAACTATATGCATATCTTTGCCAGTTTTGGAGATATAAAGATCAGAAAATTTGCAAAGTGCAGTTTATCATGAAAAAAAGGTCATAGGTCAATTTCAAGGTAACAGTTAGATTACCAGTATATGACTTCCTATTCACTTTCAAAAGTAACTATGGACCTATCTCTGCCAGTTTTGGAGTTAAAAGGGAAAGAAATTTGCAAAGTTCAGTTCATGATAAAAAGTAGGTCAAAGGTCTATTTAAAGGCCACACTAAGATTGCCAGTATATGACATACTAAACAAGTTTAATAGTAACTACACTGTATGGGTGTATCTATGCCAGTTTTGAAGATATAAAGGAAGTGCAGTTCATGATAAAGGAAGTGCAGTTCATGGTGAAAAGTAGGTCAAAGGTTAATTATAAAGTCACAGTTAGATTGCTAATATATGACTTCCTATTCAAATTCAATAGTAACTATGGACGTATCTTTGCCAGTTTTGAAAGTATAAGCATTAAAAAATTGCAAAGTTCAGTTTATGGTGTAAAGTAGGTCAAAGGTCAATTTCAAGGTCACATTTAGATTGCCAGTATATGACTTCCTATTCAAGTTCAATAGTAACTATGGACCTATCTCTGCCAGTTTTGGAGAAAAAAGGGAACAAAATTTGCAAATTTCAATTCATGATTTTGAGATACGGGGCCATGGAATCGAGACGCACTTGCACGTGCGCAAGTGTCTCGATACCATGGCCCCGTTTCTCAAAATAGAATCGGTTATGGAATCGAGACACTAACGCCTGTGCGCAACATAGCGAACCTTTTGAGATACGGAGCCCAGACAGGTAACACCTTCCAATAATATTATAGGTTAGGTCTGTGTAGTTTCTGAATATCATCGCAAATAATTTTTTTTTCGTTAAAAAAATTCTTTTTTTTTTTAAATGTTGGCCCGTTTGACCTTGAAATAAAGGTCAAAGGTCAAATCCAAGGGCATATTTGAAATCTCCACATATGACTTTTGGTCAGCCGTCTGTAACAATTTTCCCATAATTCCTTTGGTATGGTAGATAATTAACATTTAATTTTGCCATTTTTGGACAAGGGTGCATTGCAATGAACACCACACCTAGACCCCAGCACCAACAAAGCCCAAATTTTACGTGGAACGAGTTGAGATTATAGGTGACCTAAATCCAAGAGATGGGTAAGCAGGCCCTTACCGTCTAGGAGGAGAAGCAGTAACGGTAACATGGCAGCGGAGCTGGCGGAACGATCCGGACAGGACTAAAACCATGTGTACCGCCATCGCCTACACTGGTGGTACAATTAACATCACATAGAAAAATACACAAAATTTGAAATTATCAAGAATAATGAAAACAATCTACAAGTACGTCATCAACCTGCTCACTAATACCTTCTTGGTGACTTGCATTGTAAAGTTAAAATTTAACAATAAATATTAATCTCAAGTCAAATCATGCAGAGAAAATGCAAATAAAAAGAATGTTATTCAATGTTATTCAATGGTCTCAGCCCTCATCTGATCACACACAGAATTAAAATAAAGAACTATCTTGGGAACATGCTGAACTTACATGTGCAAAACCGTGAAAATATTTACATTCACATCCCAGATAGTAATGCTGGAAGGTAATGGAAGTAAAATACCTTATAAAAGTAGGATCCATCACCCCGCTCCCCCCCCCCCCTTTCCTCCCTTCACCCACCAGGTGTCACCACAACTGTGACCTTGAAAAGTAGGTCAAGGTGATAACTGGGGAAAGTCTCACTAAATCCAAAGAAAAGTATTCCACATTTGGTGGTCATTTTATGTCTTATATGCCAGAGTTAAGACAACTACTAGCAACTGTCTGTAGTGTCTCAGGAGGCTGAGCTAGTTCCCTGTATTGTATACCTTGTATGCCAGAGTTAAGACAACTACTAGCAACTGTCTGTAGTGTCTCAGGAGGCTGAGCTAGTTCCCTGTATTGTATGTCTTATATGCCAGAGTTAAGACAACTACTAGCAACTGTCTAGTGTCTCAGGAGGCTGAGCTATTTCCCTGTATACCTGCCTGTAAAACTCTGAACAAACTGTGGACATCCTCAGTCTTCAGGCAGGAGGCAGCATTGTCCTCTACCCGCTTCTCCTCCACGGCAGTAGTGACCAGCTGCTCCAGAGAATGGTCAATATTGACTGTGTACGGGAGAAAATGTCCAACATCTTGAAAAGTAAACTCGTGCTCCTTCAGGAGTGCTGCCATGTGTTGTGGATTGCAGTCCAACTTTAACAAGGACTTCCAGTCTGAGGGATGAGGACAGTTCACATCAACATTCTCCAGTAGCACATCCTGATCTGTAAAATACAACACACATCAACTTTAACAAGGACTTCCAGTCTGAGGGATGAGGACAGTTCACATCAACATTCTCCAGTAGCACATCCTGATCTGTAAAATGCAAGACACATCAACTTTAACAAAGACTTCCAGTCTGAGGGGTGAGGACAGTTCACAACAACCCTCTCCAGTAGCACATTCTGATCTGTAAAATACAAGACACATCAACTTTAACATGGACTTCCAGTCTGAGGGATGAGGACAGTTCACATCAACATTCTCCAGTAGCACATCCTGATCTGTAAAATACAACACACATCAACTTTAACAAAGACTTCCAGTCTGAGGGGTGAAGACAGTTCACAACAACCTACTCCAGTAGCGTGTCCTGATCTGTAAAATACAAGACACATCATTTTTAACAAAGATTTCCAGTCTGAGGGGTGAAGACAGTTCACAACAACCTACTCCAGTAGTGTGTCCTGATCTGTAAAATACAACACACATCAAATTTAACAAGGGCTTCCAGTGGCACATGTACCACTCTGTGAATACATCAAAATGCAATCCTTTGATCATACATCATATTCTTTTCTATTATCCAGATAAACAACAAGTGGAAATATACCAAACTTAAAGCAATTTCTAGAACTGCCCTGTATTTTGGAAATCTCTATATTTAAATTTAAGGGCCATTCCAATGTATTTTCCTGCCAAAATGAATCTTCCTAGGTTAAAGAGTAAATTTCCTTACAAAACACTGCTTGATCCGTTACCCTGCACTTGGATTGGATGTTTTGTTCCATTTTTAATTGAATGCTGTAGTTTAAAATGACTGGCCAGTCAAAGTCACATACAAGAAAATGGTGGGGTGTTTTGTATAGGGGCCCTGTACGGTGTATAACACAGTGGTTGCAAGCTGGTAATGGCTACCCAAGAAGGCTGAGAAGATAATAATGAAAGAAGGTATGCTTCAGATTAACTTTTATATTCAGGGTTTATTTGTATGTAGAGTCTGAATTTGGAAATTTAAGAGGCTTTACATAACATGAATATGACAGTGGAGGATCTTCAAACAAATGGGAAGAACTATAAAAAAAATTCATGTTGTAATTCATCTGGTAACAGCCAGGTCTTCCTAGTCAAGCACCTTTCCTGTACAAACCTACCCTTTCCTCAACTACCTAACCGTAACACATCTGGTAACAGCCAGGGGCCCGTTTCACGAAGCAGTCGTTAGTTAGAATAACTAACTACTGAACTATCTCGCAAATAAGAAAACTTAAGGGGTGTTTCACGAAGCAGTCGTTAACTCATTGCTAAGTTCAGTCATAAAGTTTGAACGTTAGTTCTGCCGTTACTCACCATACTCTCGAAACAGTCTACCGGAAGTAGAACTCTTGCGTAAAAGTGTCACGAAAGCACTAACTCTCCAATTTTTGGTGGCTGGAAATGTATAAGAAAGTCTGCTTTGAGGTTGTCGTAAAGGATATCCACCACCTTTTTGCCGCTCTTTTTGTCACAGCTAGGCGCAACCTCTCGTAAATTGTATCATTGTGTGCATATTCTAATAGATTCTGCCTATCATGAAAATGTTGTAGTCTACTTGCGGTCTGGCAGTATGGATAGCAAGAAAGGTAGCCACCATATTGGATACAAAGACAAATGACAGACAACAGTAACTAAGCAACCTTTTTGTTTCATTCATTACGCATGCGTACGATGAAACTCTAGAGTGAGCGACTGGACTAACCAGGCATTAAATATCCAAGGTAACAATGACACAATAACGAGCGAGAGAACTAGCGACAGTTTCGTGAAACGGCACTCATAACTAGCAAGAGGCTAACTACCGATTGCTAACTAACTACTGCTTCGTGAAACGGGCCCCAGGTCTTCCTAGTCAGCTACCACATGTCCTTCACAAACTTACCCTTTGTCCTCAGCTACCTAACCCTAACACATCTGGTAACAGCCACGTTTTCTTAGTCAAGCACCTGTCCTGTACAAACTTTCCCCTGTCCTCAGCTATAGTACCTAACCCTAACACATCTGGTAACAGTCAGGTCTTCCTAGCCAGCTAGCACCTGTCCTGTACAAACTTTCCCCTGTCCTCAGCTACCTAACCCTAACACATCTGGTAACAGTCAGGTCTTCCTAGCCAGCTAGCACCTGTCCTGTACAAACCTACCCCTGTCCTCAGCTACCTAACCCTAACACATCTGGTAATAGCCAGGTCTTCCTAGCCAGCTACCACCTGTCCTGTACAAACCTACCCCTGTCCTCAGCTGCCTTGTAGTGATGGATTATCCTGCTGGCTCTATAAGGCCACTGCTCTGTGAACACCACCCAGGCCGTCAGTTTCCTGATCTTTTTCCTGGTGTCTTCCTCCATCAGATCTCTCAGCTCTGCTACATACAACTTTAACACTAGGTTCAGAATATTGGTGATACGTTTGATACTGCGGGGATTGCTGTTCAACCAGTGTAACATCTTTCCTGTCATTAGAGATTCCAGACTGATCTCCAGACAGTTCTGGTACTTCCTGGCATCTGCTCTATCCTGGGCTGGGAGGTTGCTGGGGCCAGCATCCGTCACATCTAGGGCTGCATCCTGTTCTTTCTTTTCAGGAGCAGTTTTCTTCTTCACAGTTCTTAGCTTTATATAGACTCCTTTCTTCGGCGAGCCAGAAATAGTTCCATCACTTCCCTGGCCCTGATATGTTTTAACTGACTTTTCGCCCTTTTTACCCTTTACCGTATTAATTGAATTTTTGACCTCCTTTTGAGAATGGACAATTTCTGTTTGTTCTTCTCTCTTAATTCTCTCCAGGTAGGAGGTGATTAGGTGTTTGGTATCTTCTGGGTTTGCTGGGGAGAGGCTAAAAGGAAGTGTTATGATCTTCTTCAAGTACTCATATCCACTAACATTAGCCTCAGTAAGCCTGTCCCCATAGGAATGTTCAATAGATTTCACAATGAGGCGTGGGTCAATGGCAAGGACAGAGATGAAGCTGGAGTTTGGATCTGAAAGCAAAATATTCACTGCCTCTAACATTTTCACAATCTTCTTTTCCTCACATCTATCCAGGTCATCCACAAAGATCACAAAGCGGTACATTTTCCCGTGGAGCCACTGCATGTAGTTGATCAGCTTGGTGACAACTTCCACCTCTTTTTTTACCCTGTACATAAATCCAAGCTCCTCGTCAAAATTTGCCCTGGTCATTCTGAGCTGAAGTCGTTGAATTCGACTTTTCTGTGACCTCCATACTGCCCTCATTAGACGGATGACAACCTTCAGTTTGTACAGTACTGTGAGGCTGACAAATGTCCCAAACACTGCCTCAATGACAATGTTTTTTTCAGTTGCCCCATATTTGCTGCTGCTGGTAGCAGAGAGAATCACCATGGTAACGCTTACTAACAGAAACCCAGTACAAAGCAAAGAGAAAAGAAAACTGGGCATGCAGCAAGTCTTTCTGAGGTGTAATTGTTCTGACCTGGGGTCTCTTTGGGCAGTGTCTCCTGTTACAGTGTCCGGCTGTCCTGCTTCCTCTCTCCTGTTTCCTCTCTGTTCTATCATGCTGTCTAAGAGGCTGTCTCTGGTAGTGTCTTCACTGAGGTCAGAGGTCAGCACATGGTGGTGGACCAGCCTGAAGCACCTGGTGGTCCAGAGACCAAAGCTTTGTTCTACCTGGTCACACAGGTGAGTGATGATACCTGCCCACAGGAAGTCACTGCCAGCATACTCCCACGCATTGAACTTCACCAGGATTATCTGAGGCTTCTGGGAAGGGGGAACGCTGGGGGTCAGGTTCCTGGGTGCGACAGTGAACAGCAGTATCAAGAACTGCTTTAAAGCTGTCCAGTTGTCTGAAAGTGACCAGTGACCACTGCCTCCATAGTGAACACAGGAGATTAGGAAAACAATGATGATCACTGCTATAAAGCTGAGATAGGTTAACAAAGGTATGTTGTCATCTGGTCTGAACTCTGGGGTACTGGCAGTGCTGTTAGAACTGGTGAGGTTTGCGGCAGGTCCAGGAAACAGCAAGTGCGTAGTGATCATGGCCGCCATTGTTCCTGCAGTTATCAGGCATGTTAGCACAAATGACAGGAAGAAAAAGATGCACACATTCTGGCGCTGGTCATGGCCTAGCTTGGAGCATGACGGGGTGACCTCTTCACTTCCTGCATCTGGGAAAGAAAGAATTTCAAATCAGATACAAAAACTGACCATCGAACATGACACATACTAACTCAACCTTGACCATGTTTTACTATCTCATCCTTATACCATATCTGACCATGTTTTACTATCTCATCCTTATACCATATCTGACCATGTTTTACTATCTCATCCTTATACCACGTCCAGTTATCTTAACAATTAATTAATATACTGATGGAGGTGAATGATTGAGTATCTTCAACTTAAATTATTATTGTTATTTTGACAGTACAAGCATTTAAGAATTTCTTGAATTGAAGGTAATCATGCCTATTTTTTTAAACATACCAGTTTTCCTCAAGTGATACTCCAGCAGGTTGAGGAGGAATGTTTTCCCCACTCCCCAACTGCCCTGTATCCCCACTGTCACTGGCATGGACAACTTTCTGTCTCTCAGCACTTCACTCAGTACCTAGCATACAAAAGAACATATTAATGACTCTAGCATGAAAGAGACTTGGGACAAAGGAAAAACACACACACACAAAAGAATATGAAAATACACAAACAAAGAGAAATGAATATGAACACAAGGAGAACACAATGAGAGCCCAAGGAGAGCGCAACTAAAGCACTTCACCTGTCACATTCTCCCTCCACATCAAGAAATGGTGTCCTCACCATCACAAAAACACCAGAGGTAATCTTAGAAATGACCCTTGAGGCACAGTTCAATTGATCAAAATAAATTGAGGAAAATACAGAGAAAAATACAAGACATTACACAAGAAAAATATTTACATATATACAGTTGGAACATGCATCATAATATTAATTCAAGTATACCTTTAAACAAATACCAACTGGTCTTCTCCACTGACATTGACCATTAGGTCAATATAATCCCTTAACATCTTCCCTTTAAAAGTGGGAAGTGCAACTCTACATCCAGGTGACAGAGTTTTAGTAAAAACTGTAGCATTCAAGGAAGGGGGAAGACACAAATTGGCCGACAGGTGGCAAGATGAAGTTTTCACTGTTTTATCCCAACCTAACAAAGAAATCCCAGCATATCAAGTCCGGAGGGAAGGTGGAGAACAAGTCAAAGTATTACACCAAACTTACTGTTACCAATATCATCATCAATGTCTGAGTCAAATAGCTGTGTTAATCCAAAGAAAAATAAAACCCGTACATGCAAGAGTAAATGTATCAATAAGAATGATTCAGACAGTGAGGATGAAGATCAATTTGATGTTGATACCATTTTACCTGGAAAGGTAGAAAGTATAATTGAACGTGAATATGACATAGAGAAATGTACAGAAAATATTGATGAGTATGAAAGTGAGGGTGATGTACATGTTGAGGAAGGGAATGAAAGAATTTCTCAAATTGGTGAAGCTGTGTGCACAGGTGATCAGAGTAGCGAGAAGATTCCCATATTGAGGAGATCAAAAAGAACCAGAAGGAAACCTGTGTAGACGACTCATGTGTATATTATGGAACTACACGTAAGTTTAAGTGAGTTGACAGAGAAACAAGGGGACATATTACCATCAGTAGATGTGTATGAAATGTTTTTTTCAGCAAGGCAAAAGCCTAATGAAAATATGACACTGTGGGCTAGTAGGTTGGAAAAACTTATTAGTTCTACAGAACTTGATTCGCCTAGTATGTGTAATCAAATGTTGCAAAATAAATTCTACAGGGGGTCAGTGTCATCTGACATGAAAAATGGATTGAGACACAGATTTGACAATAGTGAGTGTTTTGAATGTTTATTGACCGCTGTGCAGTGCTGGAGCAAGAACGCGGTAGAGTTAGAATTACTCAACATCTTCTTCATATTGTTGTCCCGCCAGAGACGGCTTAACCTGACAAAAATGGAAGAAGTACTTAAACTTTTTAGATAAAATGAATGAGAGATTAGAGAAATTAGAAAAAAAGCAAGGAAGAGTGGAGCGTACGTGAGAAGAGAGCTTGTTTTACGTATGGTGACACGGGTCGCATTAAAAGAAATTGACAGAAACGTTTAAACTAAATCAAACCCAACTCGAGAGGCGGATATTGGGTAAGAAAACACAAAGTCCCATGAATAGACTGATTGGTCCTTCAAATGAGATGGATGTTGTGATTGGTGGTGTGAAATGTCAAGCATTGTGGGATACGGGTTCTATGGTGTCTACCATTTCAGAGTCATTTTTCAGAAACTCTTTACACTGCAATGAACTGTTCCCTGTAAATGACTTACTGACTGTTCAAGGAGCCAATGGCTCTTCACTATTGTATACTGGCTACACTGATGCTCATCTTGAAATCAATCAAGATTATTCTCACGTACCAAATTCTCCAATTTCAGTTCCAGCCTTGTTTCTCATAGTCCCTGACACAGAGTATAATGCCAGAATACCAGTCATCATCGTCACCAATGTCATGAATAGAGTTACAGGTTTGAAGTCTCTACTTAAAAGTAACGTGGTGCACTCTACCAAGTCATTTATAGTAAAGCCAAACCAATCATTAGTCATACATGGCTTCCTGAGAGAGCCCCAGGGTAGTAAATTCCCTGTTGTAGTTGAACCATCTCCCAGCCTTTCAGGTGGTCTACTGTTGGAACCTAGTCTGATTGAGTTGAATGGACTTTTCCAATGTTAGTCAGAAAAGTGTGTGTGTGCCTGCAAAGTGCGCAACTGCTCAAGTCAGTGATGTTTGTCACATTGGTATGTTAGATTCACCAGTTGAAATATCTAGTCATTCTTAGACAAATGATCTTGAGAAAATCTTCCCAGACGAGCCCCTAAATGCCAAAGCGATCAGTTTTATATGCTTTATTGAACAACAAAAGAGTCAGGTCTGAAAATGTAAAGAATTGTCTCATTTCAAGACAACAAACTGGACAAGAAAGACCAAGTCTTTCCTATGGCGCGACTTGCGAACGACGCAAAAGAGATTTCGGACAAAGAAAAACACACACAAGAGAATACAAAAATTATATGAAAGAAAGACAAATTAATACGAACACAAGGATGACACAATGAGAGCCCAAGGAGAGTGCACCTAAATCACTTCACCTGTTAGTTGTCACTTTAACTTTCTGTCTCTCAGCACTTCACTCAGTACCTAGTATACAAAAGAACATAACTGTCTGTCTCTCAGCACTTCACTCAGTACCTAGTATACAACTCAACACC